GAGCAGGCTGACCTTTTTATACGACTCACAGAAGAAACGCAAAGTGACTTGCAGGAGAAGCCTTCTGCATATCGTCGGAAAAGAAAGCACAAAGAAGAAATGGCATTCATGCAAGAGAAGAGGCAGAAGGTCCAGTCTACTGTTGCAAGCTATGGCAGAAACCCCCCAACAACACGATCTTGATCTAAGTTACCTACTGCAGAGCCTCACTGCCGAGAGTATTGTGGAAGACATCGATTCAATGGTTGGCAGACGACTTGAAGCAGCCACAGTCGATAAAAATGAAGCTGGTTGGCGTGGACAAACACCCAAACCAAATCAGGCAAACTGGTGACCTCGAGGAGCGGCTTGTCTTAAACAGGATGGCTGGCCGTGTCGTTGGGAACGCTCATGTCTTGATTCAGGCTTTCCAAATTTGCGCTTCCACCCTGCTGTACGGGCACAAGTCTATTCGGCCACCTTCTTTGGGGCGTGTTTGAGGGTTTGGTGCTGAACCGTCACTACCAATCAGAAGAAATCTCGTGGGAACCTGGATCAACTTCCTCAGTGAAAGGGAGGGTGACCGAGGTTGCTCAACATGGCAGTGGCTCAAAAAAGCGATACCAAATTGGCCACCTTGGTAAATGGAACCAAAGACAACAACCCGCGTAACCCTAGCTCCTTAATGTTGAGCCACACCCAAATTGGCCCCCCCTTGTAAACTGCCATGTCCAGAGGCTCGGAGTCCATGAGTCCTATGTTTGACCCGCCCCTCGATCATAAGCCCGAGGCGTCCTCACGCGCATGGACTGCCTGGAGGAGGCCGAATGCGCGGGTTTGCGTGGATTCGGTCCCGTCAGAAACTGGGGTCGTTTTTTCGGTTTTTTCGGGGGGTCACTGGGGCCGTTTTCCTTTAAGTCATCACTTAAGTAGGAAATCACTTTGGATAATGGGAACATGCTCGAAGCAAAGCAATTCTTGTTTAGGGGGTAACCATGTTCGCCTGGGTTTGCAGGGAGGCGAAAAGGAACACTCACCCGGTCTTGGGGTCCCCCCGAACCACGGGGCGCTGGTGATCAGTGATTGGGGGTGTTTCTATGTTTGCACCCCCAGCCTGCCAAAGATTTGGCGCACGGTGCCGTTTGATGTTCGTCAAAATGTCCAGCAGTTTTTGTATGGTCCATTTGGCAGAAACATTGGGGAACGATCTCTCAACTTGAAACAATCCCAGGGGCGAGCCCAACAGTCCGAATGCCCTGGGGGCGCGTCGCCATTCTGACCGCTTTGAACGCGCCTTTGAAAAACCAGGTTTATCTAGTAAACTCCGAATATGGCTGGTTTCCTCTTGTTATCCCGGAACCAACCAAACCAAAAAGCGCCACCCTCTCCCGGACACCTTCGCCCCCTTCGCAGGCCTTGAGCCTTCCAGCGGCGGTGGATTTGGCGCTCCACGCAGGCTTGGCGTGATTTGGATTGACAACTTAGTTTTTTGTTTTTGTTATATGTTTTTTGGTTTTTTTGTGTTGTTATTTTTTATTTTTTTTATTTATTTATTTTTGTGGGGGGAGTTATTGTTGACACAATTCGAGTCCCTTTTAGGTATGCCTTTCAAAAGGCGGAAGCAGAACCAGGGTCCAGAAAGGGGCCTGGAAACCCCTTTCGACGGTTTTCTACTGAAACCAACGAGAAATAGCATGTTGAATTTTCCCATCTGGAGATTACTTCATTGGGAGCCACAAGGATTCACAGCGTTGGGTTTTAGTGAGGCTGTTTTGGGGCTTTGTTTGTTTCTTACGACGAATGGTGCTGGGGGCGTTGCTGTCCTCGATTTGTGTGGCCTGGCTTGCCACTAGATGGAGCAAGTTTGACTCACGCCTGTCCTGCGAAAGCCACGGGCGATGGTCATGGCGGTCCTCGGCACGCGATTCACAGATTGTGCATCCTGAAAGGCAGCGAGCAACCACGACGATAGCGACAATCATCTTTTTGGTTCTTGGGCTACACCAGAACAGACTTTCAATATTTACGCCCTGAAATGGGCGGATGCGCCTGAGTTTTTTTGCTCAAATTGGTCCAATTGGTTGCACGCCCATCTCTCGGCATCCAGGTCTGGCTTTGCGAGAGATGGCCTTGGGCTCAGCGAATTGGAAGAGGCCTTCAGAAGGACAGTTGTGTGAATCCCTGGGAGGCAAGAAACAACTCCAGCAAGGTGTCCAAGGTTTCCACATCGTTACGTTGCAATCCACTTTGGAAGGGCATGAACATTGTAGTGCTCAGAGGCCACATAAGTGCAAGTCCCCTTGATGTCGACATCAGTCAAACATTGCCGACCCAGGCTAGAACCAGAACCAGCGGCTCTCAACGAATGGCGCAGCCCCAACATAAGGTGATCAGATCAACGATGGCCATCGTCGCCTTTTGTTATTGTCGTCAGACAGGTGGCTTCCAGACTCTGACTCGAACAAGAATCAAGAGATTGCAACGCTCGTCTCATTTAGGTCTCTTATATGCCACACAAGGCAGGTCAACTATTTCTGTTCAAGGTCACTTGAACGTAGTTGAGGCAACCCCGCCCCAAAAGTCGAGGTCTACTCTAGCCGACAGAAGTCATGATGACACTGTAGCACCATGCTGACCCAGCCCTTGGTTTGACATCATGTTGTATCCATCCATTCTCATGGTTTCCTATATATCTCCTTTGGGTGCCTCAGATATCACCTTTTGAACACTACAAAGCGAGCTTCTGTTTGGGGCTGTGTTTAAAGGGGTATGGGAAACGCTTTTGTAAGACCTACTAATCTGCACCACCGGAACCCTGGAATGATGATTCCCCGGCAAATACCAACAAACACCGGTTTTCCATGGGTTCAAAGTGGTGCGACGTGGATTTTTTCTCCATCCACAGCACTGGAACTTCCGTTTGCTTAAGAATATGTTTTATTTTCCCCTGTTCGTTTTAAAGGGAATCTATCACTACTGGAAATATTTTATTTTTTTTAGCACGTGGCTTCAGGTGACTGAGGCCACCTCCTTGGCGGAGGAGCCGTCCCTCCTGCGGGCCTCCTGGTCCCACTGTGCCATCCTCGGGAGGGCGCGGGAGGGCGGGCGGGCCATGTGGCGTGGCGGGAGGTTTGGGCCTGGGTCAAAAAACCAACCACCACCAAAGGAACGCTGGTTTCAGTCTTTGTTTCCATTTGCCAGGGCAAGCCATTTTGGGGACCTATTTTTGACCCACACCCATGTGGTATTTGTGGGGAAAACCACCCTGTTGGCGGTTTCATAAGTAGGTTTACTTCGCATTGTAGGAGAGTGAGACAATCCCCAAGACCGCTTCATAGGCAGCCAAGCACGAAATGAGTCATGCACTGGTGAGTGTGGCTTTTGGTCTGAAAAAAATGATCGAAACGGAGCAAACCCGCCAAAACAATACAAGCGGCAGAATAGCTTAGATTGCAACCAACACAGTATACAGGTTTACGCGTATGATCATGACATATCATGACTAAATGTGGCTTTTAAGTACTCCAACCCTCCCTTCAAATTATTATTTAGGCCCTTTATATAACCCATACTCACCAAAGAGTCCGTGCATGTGCGAGAAGTGAGAAACATACATGCAGCGGATGCATGAACTCCGACGACTCCAGAGGCCCAATCGTGGAACCTGTCGTCACGTTTTGGATGAAGTAGATGTTCTAGGTCCCCCAGCCCTTTTTGGGGGGAGGGTTCCCCTACAATAGACTACAGCAAAAAGGAACGGTACCAATCTATTCTAACCTCACAAGACTGGACGACCTAGTGTTAACTCCCCGAAATCAACCGCCAAGGCACGATTTTTTTTTTGTTGTGTTGCTTCAGATTCTCTATTTAGCACCTATGCCAAAACTGCCAAAATGGTGGATAGCGGGAGGGCGTTGGCTGAAATGGTGGTAAGAAGGGAGCACAGAAGGCTGGACTTGCTCTCTTGACTTGCCGATAGCGGCATCGCGCCCATGTTTTGCGCCAAAAAGGCAGCGGAAACGCAGTTGTTGGCACGGGTTGGCTTGCCCTGATAGACACTGGGTATGAATGTTCCCAGACTAGTGCTGCAACAAAGGCAAGCACATGCCAGCAACATGCCGATGGAACAAGAGCACACACACACACACATACACACGCAGTTGCTGAATCCCAAGAAGGGGTTGATTAAACAATTGGCGCCCTTTTGGAACCCTGGCATCATTTCTCGGGGTGGTCAAACCCAGTGTTGCGAAGCCCCGCAGCTCGTGATGTGCACCGCGATGCTTTTTCGGGGAGGTACCATGAACATATTCGCCACTCCAAAATACTCAAAGTATATACACTGAAGTGGAGATTCACTTCTGGAGATGCTTCTGAAAAGCATCATGTCTCAAAGCTAAAGGCCTTGTGGGGCTCCTTTTTCTCCAAGGAAATGCCCTCCCCAGATTCATCCGGGGATCCTTTTGTTCCACGAACATTGCATTTGCGGCCTCAAAGGTTTGGCCCTTTTGCGCGCACGGCCGGCCGGGTTCTGAGTATGGGTGATTCTGTAATTGGGGTCTCCTAAATTTGCGACCCCCCAAACTGATGGTTTCCCTTTGGTTTCCTCTGAAACAACGTTTAAAAACGGCATCCCCCCGAATTGACGACCTCGCGCCCAAGCCCCTTGATTTGCCACGTGCTCAACTCTGGCCCCTCAAGAGGCAACTGTTCTGCACCGGTTCACATACCTTTCCCTCAATCCCCAAGTTGGACTCGTTTATGGTAAGCAATGAGCTCGGACTTTTGTTGCTTGCCGTTTAACTGTGGCGAGAAAGCCTTAGGATGGATGAGAACTTGTTCGTGCAGGCGCTTGGGCGCCAGTGCCCGCGCATTTCCCGTGAAAACACTCATCGGTTTCCTCCCAGAAGCCGCTTAGCCGCTGAAAGGAGTTGGTTTTTAATGTTGACCCAGTTGACCCCGGAAAAAAAAAAACACCTCCTTGAAGTTTTTATTGTGTCCGGGCCCATGTTTTTCCTACAATGGATTGCACCGGAACAACAACTACATCCTCCCGAGCCATGCGCCGCTGGAGACGCGGGTTCGGAGGCGGCTGAGACATTTCGGAGGAAGCGGTTGTAACAATGGCCAAGAGAGTGGCATATAATTTTCATATAATGATATTCTGGCCCGCTCAGGCTGTATGCGGGGTCTCCACCGGGCAGAGAGAGCATGATCTGACTGCAAAATGCTTTTCCCCTCAGCCTTCGTGGGCCCCTTCCCATGTCGCGCGATCACGTGTCACACTTGGAAGCTCCATGGCCATTGAACTGCTTATATGCGAAGCTCACTCTCGGGGTCCTTGGAACCGGATCTGACTTCCAATCAGCTTCTCTGCAAGGGATTTGCAGGCAAGTCCAGGAAAGGCGGAATCCATGGCTTCTTTCAAGCGGCGCCTCAACCGTGGAGCTTTTCTAGGGTTAGCTATCCAAAAGAAGTTGGACAGTATAGTTGGACCCACCAAATTCTTGTGCTTGATAATTCCTCCCTTTTACATGAGATGAGCGAACACAAGGTTAGGTGAGGGATCCCAACTTAACTTGTCCATCGGATCCCACCCTCTTCTGCTCGGTGAGCCGCAAGTGCAGCTGGCTCGTGCCAGCTTTACGAATCAGGTGATTTAGATGTTTTGTGTTTAACTTTCATGTCAAGGCAGAGATTCAATTTCACAAAATGCAGGAGATTTAGAAGATTCCCTGCTTGATTTCTGGGTGATTGGGAGAATCCCCCCTTCGGTTGCTTTGCAGGATCCCTCCGCCCCTTTCCAGATTGCGAGGATCGGAACCCTTCATTTTCAGGTGACCCCCCCCTGCCTCCAAAGCCAGAGGCGCTTGCGCCGTGCTGGCCGCCAACCTGGCCTTTGCCGGCCCAGGCCACACCGTTTTGGGTTTGGAACCCATGCCCTTGCGCCGTGTGGCTTCCCTTTGTGTTCACTTCAATACAACACAAAGGACACGCAGAGGTTCGCCCTTTGAAGGGTGCAGCAAGTTTTGGACCCTCGAAGGCGGAAAGTGCCCATGTATTTATTATAGTGCCAAAGTGGACAAACGTCATCGAAATATGGGCGCTCCCTTGAAGAGCCCCCTCTTTGGCTTGTGTCCCTGTAAACGGAACGGGCCTATCTCTCTTTGAGGCATGCCTGTTTGGTGGGCCGCTTAAAAGTCCCCTTGGAGGGGCCTGATCACAGGTGAAGTGGGCGTGCTTTCATTTCCTTTGGTGTCTTACAATGGGGGCCCTCCAAAATCGTGTTTTTCCAATGGGTTCCCTTCCACACTGCCCCCGAAGAAAACAGATACACCGGATGGGGTGTATCGACGGAGACATTCTGGCCTTTTCCTTTTTTGTTGACCCCGGGCCCTTGGCGTTTTGTACTTGATATCAAGAGTTCTCTTGGACAATCAGGACCGGAAGTACAGCGGTTCTGGTGGTGAGCCGCATAAAAACCTTGGGACTTCGCGAATGGGGCTGCGGTCGTGTTGGTTCCCCACCGCCTTCGGCCGCAACTGTGAACTGGGCGGCCGTTGCATGGCTTCTCAAAATGCATCCGGGTCCCGGTGCTTAAAGCGAACCTATTGGGTACGAGTTCTGAAAATAGGAAACGGAGCCCACCACGGGTCTCGGTTTCCCGTTGGTGTTTTGGAAGCGACACCGCGAAACTAAACCGCCAGGCGCCCCGCACGCCCCAAGCCGCACAAGCGCGGCGGAGCTGGCGGAGCTAGGGCCGCACTCTCGGACGGTTGGGGTTTTGGTGGGGCGGGGAGTTTCCTTTTCCAGCCACCCGGTTCCAAACCGCCGCACACCAAGCTCAGCCAGCGATGTTATTGGAGATGCTGGGGTTGCTGGCGATGTTGTGTGTGGGGAGGCCCGTGCGCGCACCCACCCAAAGCAGCCTTCTGCAACAAGCATGACTTTCTCCGCCGGGTCCGTGCGCGGGGGCCCCCCGTCACCATTCTTGTTAAAACAAAAAACAAGCGGATCCCAGGGAGGCTGTTGTTTCCTGCCCCCGAGTTGTCCGGGCCGCCACGGACCGAGGTGGGAGTATGACCCAGAAAGCATCGAGGTGGGGCCTTGTGGGTGACGCTTCTTCCAGAAGGATCGTCAGAAATAGTCGCAATTTGCTTGCCCCAAGCCCGGTGCTTGGCAATTCTGCATGCTTGCTGCCCTCAAGCTTGGTGTCCAGCTGCGTCAGTGCCACTGCATGGCAGCTGGTTCGAATGTAAATGAGGTTGGCGGCGAACTTGTGTATGGCCACAAGCCAAGTGGTATTCAAGAAGATGCCAAGATCAAGATCGTCTGGATTTTGCATTTGGAGCCATGGACGGGTTCCCGAGCCTGGACGCGTGAGGCCTACTTCCAGCAAAGGCCCTGGCAGCTTGCAGAGCACGCGGGCGCAGTGGTGCAGGCGAACGGGGGAGATTGAATGGGCATGTTGGCAGATCTCGGTTGTTCGGTTGCATCCTTCCTCCCTTTTTGGGCACCAAAAAGGTCTCCTGTTTATTGCTAGGTTCACTACCTGGGAACATGGTAGAGGAAGTTCTACCATTGGTATCCGTTGAACCAGTGACTGGTGCTTTGCTCTTACTCTCCAAACAATCTCGAAAAGAGCAGCGAATGTTCCCGGATGATAAAGTTGGCGGACGAGTAGACGGATTCCCCCAAAGGTGAAGGATCCCTCTAAGCTGGGCCCCTGTATTAATTTGTGAGAGGTTTATTAATCCTGGGTGGGGCATAGGGAGCCTGGTGAGTTGAAGGGGAAAGTGAAAGGAACCCGAGCACTTGAGGGTTCACACATCGGCCAGGCGATTGGGGGCTTGGCCCTGTCTACGGCCGGGGCGCCTAGGAGAACTGAACGATAGACAGGAGGTTTGAACTGAACTTACCCGAGGACATCACTTAGGGATTCACGCCAACTTTCCAGCATTTTCCCTGACATGAAAGCCGGTATGAAGCCAATTTGAAGTGAGTTTCCTTTTGGGGTGTGAAAAGGTGCCCGAACAGCAGGAAAAGCTGGTTCCTCCCCCAGTTCGCTTCTTCGGATGCAACTGGCACTTGGCGTTCCTTCAAAGAGAAATGCTGACCCATATTGTTTTTTGATGGACTTCACATAGCATTTTCACATCCAGGAACTCGACTTTTAGTTCCTGGGCTAGTCGTGTTCGCCGTGCTCGATGTGTTTGACGTACAAGGTGTGTCTTGCATTTTGTGTGCTCTGGCCGTTGGTTTGTTTGTTTGAGGCGTTGGGTGTGAACCTGCCAAGCTTGAACAGTTTCAGTTTGGAATGGGATTCAAGCTAAGCGCGTGGAGCACTTGTTGGCTGAGGTCAATTGTTTTGCGTGTCGGTACAGGCCCCGGATATGGCTTCTTCATCCGCGCGTGTTGCCAGAAGAGCATGCGCCTCAAAGAACACAACATGTCCATCTGAAAGAGCAACACTGACAGAGGCAATGCCAGGCAAGATGCAAGAGAAGTGAAATGCATTTCGCTGTGCGCGTGAATCAGTCAGCATGCAGCGTTGATGCGGGCAGACGAAGCATGGCCACGCAGCGGACAGACAAGGAGCCCGCTCCTGACCAAGTTGCGGGGTACGTCCTCGTACCCTCAGGCAGCGAGTGTCACTGGGAGACCAGCAGGCCCGGGTTGAGGAGCCTACAGCGAAGCTTTTGCAGATGTGGTTCTTGAGCACTGGCCACTTGCAGCAGCAAAGTCAGGCCATGAGCGTTTTTCTAGCGCCAACTGAACGAGGCTCACTCTCCTCATGCGCCCCTTCTGGGTCGCTGCAACGATTGCGTGCAATTTGACCACAGCTTGTGAGGATTGCAGTCAGTGCGTATTCGAGCTCAGTTTGCGATCCATTTGTGCACCCCGCGAGCGCTTGCAAGAGGAGTGCCTACCGCGGGAGCACCCACCACTGGAGCACCCACCACTGGAGCACCCACCACTACCACTGAAGCGCCCACCACGGCAGCGCCCATCAGGGGAGCACCCACCACGGGCCAAAGCGCCATCAGCAAGAGGCAGCAGAAGGTGGCAAGAGCGGCTTATGCAGCCAAGGGTATTCCTGGACAAGAACAGTTTTTCGCAGAATCAGTCAGCATGCAGCTTTGATGGGGGGCAGAGGAAGCATGGCCGCTGCGGACAAGGACTTGGGCAGAGTGTCACTTGGAGACCAGGAGGCCCGGTTTGAGGAGCTTACAACGAAGCTTTTGCAGATGCGATTCTTGAGAACTGGCCACTTGCAGCAGCAAAGTCGGGCCATGAGTGTTTTTCTAGCGCCAACTGAACGAGGCTCACTCTCCTTATGCCCCCCTTCTGGGTCGCTGCAACGATTGCGTGCAATTTGACCACAGCTTGTGCACCGCTGAAGCGCCCACCACTGAAGCCCCTACAACAGAAGTGCCTACCATGGGAGCACCCACCACGGACCAAAGCGCCATCAGCAAGAGGCAGCAGAAGGCGGCAACAGCGGCTTGGGCAAGAGCAGCTTCAGCAGCCAAGGATATTCCTGGACAAGAACAGTTTTTCGCTGAATTAGTCAGCATGCAGCTTTGATGGGGGGCAGAAGAAACATGGCCGCGCAGCGCACAGACAAGGAGCCCGCTCCTGACAAAGCTGCGAGGAAAGTCCTCGTGCCCTTGGGCAGAGTGTCACTGGGAGACCAGCAGGCCCGGGTTGAGGAGCTTACAGCGAAGCTTTTGCAGATGTGATTCTTGAGAACGGCAGCAGAAGGCGGCAACAGCGGCTTGGGCAAGAGCAGCTTAAGCAGCCAAGGATATTCCTGGACAAGAACAGTTTTTCGCTGAATCAGTCAGCATGCAGCTTTGATGGGGGGCAGAAGAAACATGGCCGAACAGCGCACAGACAAGGAGCCCGCTCCTGACAAGGCTGCAGGGAAAGTCCTCGTGCCCTTGGGCAGAGTGTCACTGGGAGACCAGCAGGCCCGGGTTGAGGAGCTTACAGCGAAGCTTTTGCAGATGTGATTCTTGAGAACGGCAGCAGAAGGCGGCAACAGCGGCTTGGGCAAGAGCAGCTGAAGCAGCCAAGGATATTCCTGGACAAGAACAGTTTTTCGCTGAATCAGTCAGCATGCAGCGTTGATGCGGGCAGACGAAGCATGGCCACGCAGCGGACAGACAAGGAGCCCGCTCCTGACCAAGTTGCGGGGTACGTCCTCGTACCCTCAGGCAGCGAGTGTCACTGGGAGACCAGCAGGCCCGGGTTGAGGAGCCTACAGCGAAGCTTTTGCAGATGTGGTTCTTGAGCACTGGCCACTTGCAGCAGCAAAGTCAGGCCATGAGCGTTTTTCTAGCGCCAACTGAAGGAGGCTCACTCTCCTTATGCCCCCCTTCTGGGTCGCTGCAACGATTGCGTGCAATTTGACTACAGCTTGTGAGGATTGCAGTCAGTGCGTATTCGAGCTCAGTTTGCGAGCTCCGTTGGAGGGGCCAAAGGGCCGTCAGCCAGGAGGCAGCAAGAGCGGCTTGAGCAGCCAGACTGGGTGCAATTTTCCGCGGCGCGAGGAATCAGTCAGCATGTAGTTTGGATGGGGGGCGGAGGAAGCATGGCCACGCAGAGCACAGACAAAGCTAGTTATGTTTATTTTATGCCTGTATTTCCCACCTGGGAAGCCCTCATTTTGGGTCAGCAATCTGCAGAATTGGGCCCATCTACCCATGCTGATCATCCGTTGCTTCGGAGTGGCTTTCGAATTGACAGTCGGCGCAGTCCGAAAAAATCAGCAAACGAACCCCTTGCAACAAGACCTTTCCTGGGAAGTGTTCTGAGGATTCCAACAACTCCTCGAAAAAAGTCCGTGATAAAGGCCAGAATTTTGGGTGGGGTGGGTCAAATCTAGATTTGGGGATTTGTTCGAGAGGAATGGTCACAGGAAGCATTGTAGGTGCCACCAACTATGTCGGATCCAGAACTGAAACCTTGAAACATGCACCAGTGCTCCTTGGCTGTGCCATTTCAAGTGCTCGGGTCAATTTCCGGGCAGAACGTCGCGACAGAGTGCAACCTCGGAACCCCTTTGGGCACATGCAGCTTCGGAAAGGCAGCCACAGCAAGCATTCGGGCTGATCCCTAATGTCGGCGATTTCAGCACATCTCAGAAGCTATGTTTGGTGCTGACAACATTTCAGCCACCATAATCTCCAAGGGGTAGAAACCCGAAACCAAATCGGAGTATGGCCTACATAGAGCAAAACACCTGGAACTGTTTCAGTGCTTCCCTTTGTTTCGGTCCGACATTTAGAACAAACACCATGAAGCAGGCAGGCTTCGAAGCCGTTGGTTCTTCGCCAATGGGAATGGTGTCCTTTGAGCCGGTTCCTGGGGAAGGACTTCCGATGCCAAAAAAGGCAAAGCCTTATGACCTGGTTTGGGGCGAGCTGCTTTTGATAAATTCAGAAAGCCATCAGCCCGTGCAGGTTTGACGGCGTATGGTTTCTTCAGATGTCCCATCCGAGAAAGGTCTTCTTGCTGGCGGCAGGAAAGGCGCGAGCCGCGGACAGTTTGCCTGGGAACCCTGGGTTGTCATGGATTCAGAAGGAAACACATGCGAGTTGAACTTGAATCAGCGGTTCAAAGCGGTGCAGATGGGAGTCCATGCAATTTGGGCACTCTTGAACTTCATGCTACGCGTTGGAGTCACCATTCGCCTTTTGCTTAGAGCGGGCTGTTTTGCTGAGCTCCTTTTCTTGTCGGTTGATACGACTGCACATTGACAAGTGTACGGGGCTGGGCCGAAGCTTGTACGGAGTTGCAACCTGTGCCGCAGAAATGGATCAAGAGCTTGCCGGCATGCGGTCATGGGCTGTCGGATTCGACCGGCTTTTAGCATGTCAGCCAGTGCAGCCACTCAAAGTCATCTCGGCCTCAGATTGTTCAACCTTGAGCAGCATCCAGTTCAGACCTAAGCCTATCCCCCTCTCAGCTGCTTTTCATGATTTTATTTCTCTCCAAAACCCTTTGTGCCAATGGTGCCATGACTCCGCTTGCACCTTTCCAAAAGCACCGCTCAACTAATCCGAAGCGCCGCCCAGCGTCCGGCGTGTCGGCCGTGCGACCATGGCGCTTAAGCAGCCGGTGGGTCAGAAGCGCCTGACCAACGTGGCGATTGTTCGACGCTTGGAAGGTTCCACAGGCTCTCCTTGCATTCGCGTGAGGGGCGTGAGGAGGTAATTGTTGCTCTTTCTTGTTGCTTGTGGAGGGAAGTAGTCATGATAGGTAAACATCTCGTTTGTATGTGGATCTCGAGCAAGTAAATTCCTTGAGGTGTGCTTGCAAAGCGAGTTGGAAAGGCGAGATGGTTGAGCTATGATGGAAGGATCGGCGAAGTAGATTGCTGCATGTCGATGGCTCCGCAGCTCAAAAACACTTATATAGTTGAACACATCGTAACCTCATGATTGAGAGCTGAGTTGCAAACAATCCGTGATCCTGATGTAGAGGAGAGGATTCAGCAAGTTGTTTGTTTGGCTCTTAACAGTTGATATGCAATAAGCCTGACGGGCAGTGTTCAAGCAAAAAGCCAACTGCTGTGCGTCCTGCCTCTGATCTCGTTGGTTCCGTGTCGTGTTGCTTGAACAGAGCGGTTCCCCGGAAAGGAATCTTCATCTCAAGTCTCCAGAGATCACAAATAATCAGAGCCGGACTTCTCCCTGCAGGCGTACCAGCACCCGGTCGCAATGCCTTTTGGGACCCAGGTGTCACTTTGTGGGGGTCAACACCTTTCTGGGTCCCTCATTTTGTCAAGCCGCCGTTACTTTCGGCAAAGCCATGTCTTTAAGCGTGGGTAAGTTCCCCGGGGTATTCCAAAAAGTAGACCATTTTTCTCACAGCCAGTCAACGCTAAGCATCTTCATTTAACCTGCCCCTGACATCCCTTGGCATGTCGAAGTTATTGAGTTGAGCAAGCCCGTGGCAATCGTAGACCGAAAAGGGCGCGAGGCTTGAGAATTGACTGTAGCCCGATGTTTGTCTCGCCAACTGCCGAAGGCGCAGGATGACCGAGCGGCACGCCATATTGATTCACCCGGGGAGCTTTAGACGGAAATCAGAACATAGTCCATGCGAATGGAGGCAACTCGCCGAGGAGTCGAGACCCGAAACGAAATCCCAGCGAGGCAGAGTGACTACTTCTAAAGATCAAGTTCAAGCTTTCCAGCAAATCTGGGGGTCGAGACTTCTTATGCCCAATATTCAAGGGGCAGTTGCAGAGGGTAACCAGTCAAGACCCCTCTTACCACAATACTCAAGCAGGGATCAACAAGTTTTCCAGGTCCCGGACATTTTCGGCACCCAACTCGCTAAAAAGGAGAGAGAGAGAGAGAGAGAGAGAGAAAAGAAAGAGAGAGAGTCCCAGGAATGAAGAGCCACGGCATGCGCTTTGAGATTGCATGTGACTTGGCGCCAGTGGGTAGAATGGGAACCTACATGGGGAACCCCCAAATCGGACACCAGGTGATGGTGAAAGGACTGCCAGGCGTGATCAAAGTTGAGAAGCACAAGCTCAAGCGACAGCAGCGAGAGGGCGGCAGGCGTTTAGCTACAAATGGATCAACCACATGCTGTCCTTTGTATGAGGAGCTTGATGGCAGTCTCATTGTTGCCATTGCTTAAGATCTGAATGGAACAGACCGTGCCGGAAGTCAGGACGTCAGGACCCCCACTCCCCAGCGTTTGGACAATTGACGGAGAGAATGAAAACCCTTCAGACAGAGTCGCCTATTTAGGAATTATGTATGACTCACCTGATAAGGGCAGCCAGGTGCATGGCATCCAACTCCGCTAGGTCTGGCTAGGTGATGAGATACTTATTATCCTCCCTTTTGTGGGAGAACGCTTCCATTTCTCTTATTCCTCTTCCTTCCTTTTGCTGGGTTGTAACCGCTGCAATTCGAATGGCAGGATCTGGAAGCCTTGGCTTGCACGAGCTGGGTAATACTGGAACCTTGAATCGAATCCACTGGCAGTGTTTCAAGTGTTTGACTGTCTGTTGCTTCTGTGCTGATCACCAATTCCGAACTCGAATATGCCGTATGCCGCCGTATGCCAGACACCAGCCGCTAGTTCAAACACGCAGGTCCTGGTTTGATCAAGGCTTCAGGACTTGTTTGGACCGGGTTTTCCTTGCAACCACCAGTGCCATGCTGTACAACGAAGGAAGGTTCTAAGCACTATCCGCAAGATGAGAATATACAACGCCTTTGAGTTGGAAGGCAAGCTTTGCAACGCGGCCCAGCTCCAAATGCAATTGGCCGTGAGCAAATGAAGCTGCAACTTCGCGGGTTTCGGTTTACCACCTCTTCTACAAAACTATTGGAACCGTCTTCCAGGTAGGTGACTTAGCATTCACCTCACCACTGAAGCGAAGTGTGGAATGACAGCTAGGTCCAGCTGAGCGTGAATGTGTGATTAACTCTTCCATCATTGGAAGGCCTCAGTCTGATTAGATTCTTTTCGCGGAGGGAATTAATCCCATGGGACATTCGGCGGTTAATTCCTCAGAGTTAGACATTTTTGCAAAAACTCCTGGGCCCAGCCATGGTTGCGTCAGGTTACAAGAACAAGGTCCTCAACTGGCGCGAAGGCATTGAGAAGGCTCGGCGATCGGGTACTTAGTAAGCGGTTGGGAAGCCTGGAGACAAAACCCACCCAGCAGACGGAGAAAACCGTGGTAAGTGTGTACAACCATGGAGTTATTCCCCACTTTGCTGACGTACAATGCCCCTTTAAGTTGGCGTCCTTGGTTCGCCTCAAGGAACTGACCTCAATTTCTGCACTGGATTTTGTTTTTATCCCAGAAAGAGCACACCGCGGCAGTTCTGGCACTGACGTCTTGGGTCGCCAGGTTTGGCTTGTGGAGCAAACTTCCTTGCCATCAAGTCATAGGATGGGTTGGGAGTTCATGGGGCTTAGCGGACATCAACCTTTGCAAAACATGTGTTAGACACGATGAAACACAAGACGTATGTCAGTAAAGTTCAGTTGTGTTTGTCAAGTTTTAGTCGTGGGCAATGCTACTTCAGAATTGGGGGATGAGGATTCCATCATTGCAGCACGATTCCGGAAAGATGTACATATTTGTTCTCAGGGTTGGAGGAGCGACAAATAGAGTAGCATTGGGCTTTCAAATCGGAGGTTTGAATCCCAAGCTAACTCCCAACCCTATTTTCTAGAGTCAAGATTGTGGATTTTGTTCTGGGCAAAGGTGAATCTTGAATCCAGGACACACGGTTTTCTTTTTGTGTAACGTGTCTCCAGGCTTCCCCTTTCGTTCCGGTTTCTGATTCTTTTCCTGTGGAGACGGGGTGGGGTGGACTATGGCATGTTTGCATTTGCTTGAGGTACTCGTTCTCCTAGAATTGTGGATGGGAATTGCAAGATTTTTTTTACAGGATGTGTTTTTATTTCATAGACTCACTCGCAGCATAGAGTATATAATGGAGTGCAAGCCTGTCTTCCTTAGACGCTTTGCTCAGACCTGCAAAGGCAGCATTTGTCTGCTGAAAGGCAAAACAGCGCCTGCGGGGAGAGGGCGTAGCAGTATTTATCATGTTTATCGATATTATAATGCAATCATTGCTGAATGATGGGAATGAAACGGCTGTAGAAGAAAAGGGCGATCGCAATGCTTCACCTCGGCCAATAGAGATTAAGCCCCTCAATCTCCGGGAATTTTCAGCAAATCCTTTATCCTTCCCTTGGGTCAAGGCTTGCCCTTAGCGGTTTCTCACTTGTTTTCGTTGGACTGGATTGGCCAAGCCGCCAAAGACGCGGGATGAGCAGCTGGCAGCTGAGGACATGAACGAAGTTCTGCAAACCGAGACGATCTTCACGAACGTCTCAAAGGCGTCGAGTCGGATCGCGCATCCAGGATTCGGGATTTGGCTGAGGGCCTGCCAGATCAGGAAACGAGAGCTAGCAACTCTCGTCCGCTTGGTGTTTATGTCTCAGACCTCGCTAAGTGCGTATAGAATCTCGACCCCATCTAATCAGTGAGCTCGCTGGGGAAACGAGGTGGGTGGGAGGAGGGGTGGGTTGGCGGGTGGGCGGGGGGCTAAAACTAGCGCTTAGCCAGTTTGACTTCTGCTCTTGGGCATCCCTCATGTCAGTTTGGTGAAGCATTGCAATTTGCCCGCGCTGGTTGCTTGACTGAGCTCTTTGTTTTCAAGGCTCATGACCCTAGTAGCACCTCTTAGCGTGATACGTAGTTCACTTTCTAACCCCAGCGCCTCAGCAGCGAGCCAAACCTTCTTGGCCATTTTAGTAGCTGGCTACCCTGGGCTACGCTCCTAAACCCGCGTGCCCGTCTTAGAGCGTCAAAGGGCACAAACGTTTTTGTTCCCAGCCCGCCGGCTTGTTTCGGGCAGGCAGTGATCGCCAAGGAGAAGGACCTGCAGAAGGCCTTCGGCACCGCGGACCAGTTGGAGCTCCTCGGCGCGGACGGCGCAGGTTTTGGTGCCCAGGCGCTTAGCCCTTGGGTTCTTTTTGGATACAGTAGGTTTGCGGGTTTGAACCGCAGTTCCTTGCGCCAAATGGGTCAAAGGTGCCCCCTAGGGTCCAAACCAGCCCAAACCACGAAATCGGGGCAAGATGATATCAAAGTCAGCGACCTGGCGTTTCGGGGAGTCAGCGCCCGGGGGGTACTTTCAAGTTGCAGGCCAGTTGAAGTTGAACGAATTCTGGAGTGTTGTTTGAGGAGTGTTTTGTTGCGGGGGGGAGTTGTGTACTGTACAAGGCCAGTCGTGAAAACCATTTTGGGAAGACAGGTGCAAATCCCGGGGCTGGGTAATACGTCTACGTCGAACACCTGCGCCTTGCGAAGTCGTCCATTGCTCAACTCGTGGTCCATTGGGTTGCGCTTGGAAGTATGAGCGGAGCCGCGGAGCCGCGGAGCCAAGAGCCGAAAGGCTTGTTTTTTGAAGCTGAAAGTAGTAGCAACAGTGATAGGAATACTAGTAGTAATAGTAGTAGTAAACATAGTAATAAAAATAGTAATAATGTAAAACATACTAGTACAATCCAGGGGCCCCCAAAACCATAAAAAACAAAGGTTTCCTGTGAAAAAGGTGAAAAACCAGGTTTTTGTATAAAAACCTGGTTTTTTGAGGTTTGCAATTTTCAGAATCAAGCTCTAATCATGCAGTGGACCACGAGCAAGACTTTTGCCCCTTCGGCTTCATGCATGCGAGATCCGTATGTAATTAGGAGGCCGCAGTGCAGTGACCCATACACATCAACTGCCAACAAACTTGGCTTGCCAACACTAACTTCAACCATTCAAAGGTCACTGGCCGCAGCCTGTAGGCAATGCCGGACTGCCAAGAACACTCTTTGGATCACACGATGTCCGGCCGTCCTCCCTGAGACCCTTCGGGCCAATCGCGAGGGTTTTCCTATGTAATCCTCTTGCATTTGAACTGCGTAGACCAGGCAATTCAAGGTCCATTCGTTTTTTTGTGCGGAGTGATATACATCCATGAATTGGTGATGGAGGAAGTGAAGCTTTGGAACCAGCGGGAATCTTCGAAGTCTCTTCTCATGGCAGATCTGCGCGAGATCCGCGTAAAGGCGCAAGAATTTCAGCCCCTGATCTGCAATTTTCATAGCCTCAGGTTGCGGTACCCAGGTTCCAGCGTGGTACAGGCCACGCAGCGCAGCATTAATGCACCGCAGCGCTTCAGCCTCGAGCGGGGTGGTGCTGGGTGGTGCGGAGGGGGGAAGCAATGCCTGAATTCATTGCAGAGGGTAAGAAATCGTAAGACCTAAACAAAGATGTTCAATATACAATGCGTTGAGCGGCCACCTTGCTGTAGAGAGGGTCCTGGTCAAGCACCTTTCTGAGGCACCAGTTTTCCAGCCAACGAGAGAGAACAGTAGTGAAGTCCCCCTTGCTCCAGCCAGCTGATGGGGTGTCCTTCATGGAGTTCTGGACACCAAACATCACTTTGGTGAGCCTGAGAAAGTAGGGGCTGTACCTGTTCATTTTGCAAAAGCGTTGGAAGTCGGAGCTCAAGGCGGCGAACTGGTCATCAATGGTTTTCTCCTCAACCAAATCTATCAATATCACCACTGCGGATGACAAAAAATACTTACCGATTCCGCTGTGCCAGTTGTGAAACAGGTCGTAGCAGAAGAATCGTTCTCCGTTGGGGTTGTCGACTTCTCGGGGGATACGAAGCAGCGGGGACGGTTCACCAGCATAGTGTGGAGGTACAACTTCAACTGTTTCCAGCCATTTCGGGTGAAGGCTAAGGTCCTCAAAAGGAACCTCATAGCGCCAGTCTTCTTTTCCGGCCAAACACTTGAAACAAACTCCGACGGCAGGTTTTTTGCTGCTTGACCGCGTAGGCCTCCGCAAGAAATTTCTTTCAAACTTACCGGCTTTTGTCAGCCACGGAGCGTCCCCTTTGACGGCCAAACAACAAACCCACAACTTGCGCTGGCCAACCTGTAAGCCATCGAAAAACAACGTTCTCAAATCATCAGTCAACTTCTCTAGCATCAGGTAAAAGGCCTCCGGGGAGTCGCTGTAGATGCCAATGGGCATCACGCAAGACAAGAAATGTGTCAAAAACGTGTTGCCGATCATGTTGAGCTTCAGCGGGTCCGACTGTATGGAAGTAGCCTGCATGTTGGACTCAAGGGTTGCGTGGCTGCCCCTTCCCAGAACTCCATGAAGCGAAAGCACAAGTAGCTGTTTCTTCTTCAAGCCTCTTCCTTCATCCCCGTGAAAAAGTACTGGCAGCGTTTGGTGTAGGCTACGCTCTGACCCATCTTGTTGAAAAACCGCGTGTGAAGGAGCTATTTTTTGGAACCTGGTCCAAAACTCTGAGAGCGTTGGTTCATAGCCTTCTTTCACGCCCACCAACTGATCAAGAAAGTCGTATGTTACCAGGTAGCGCAGCCAGCTGGAAAACTTGATGTAGGGGTACTGCATTTTGGTGGGCAAGTCTACACGCGATATTTTGACAGGTACTGACTGGCCAAACTCGCGAAAAACACGGTGCGCCCCTGACTCGCTCTTCTTCAACTGCACCGCAGCCAGGGCTTTCATGCCCTTTGAAGGATATCGGGATAGCCGAGCTTGGCGCACTACATCGCGGCATGACACCTCAGCAAAACGCGCTGCGCTGGATCTCACACGCCAAGGTTGTATGTTTTGCGCACGCAAGCGGAAGTAGGCATGCATGCGTCCGGTATTGCATGAAGGCTGCAGCAATGTATTTTCTCGCCTCCGCCCACACCGAGCAGCATGGGAAGCCGAATTATGAAAAAGCATTTTAACAAATTGGTTTGAAAAGGTCAGCACGGGCGCCAACAACATAAACAAAGAACATTGAGTCGTGGTGTTCGTAGCTTGTTAGGCCATCACCTCCAAACTTTTTGTTGCGGCAACCCCTCTTCGAGATGTTGCCTGCAATAAGGGCAGCCTCTAGCATTTGAGCTGAGCCCAAATTGGATGTCACATGCAGCAAACTCATATGGGAATAATTTCCCTGCTTGAAAAAAACTCAAACCTGACAACCGGGCTTGAAGTCAGCCCGATTTTGAAAACACAAAGCTGGTGGCCTACCCTGTTTCGAAATTGGTCTACTTTAGCCAGGCAGCCTTGCAGGATATTGCCCGCAGTTGCCCTTTCCCGCTGCACGGATGGCAGATAGGCAACAGCAATTTCGTGCCGTTGAAAGAACAGCTCCTTTTCTTCCAAAGAAGCAAGCGCCCTATACACAGAACTCAGCTCCCGCAAAGAAACGCTGCTTACCTCGAGCGTCTTGGCCTCGCTTTTCTTCTCCTGCATGCGGGCAACGCCCTCGGGAAAATGTTTTGACCAAATATGTGTTTTTGTTGCTTGGGAAGCCAGCGAAGCATGCAATGGCACGCAATCTCGCCGAGCTGCTGGGCGCGGTGATGTTGCTGGCAGGTCGGGCTCCAAGTGCAGAAAAGGAAAGCAACTTCCAGCCCAAAAAGCACAATTTGCGAGTGTCAAGCTACACCTCTCCTTTACACGCAAGGTGCATGGTAAACGCGTAGCAGCCAGGGCGCTTTGATTCACGGGGTTGGCCACAGAAAGGCGGGCATCGCTTGGCTCCCGTGACAGGGCAGTCATAGGTTAGAAGGTCTCTGAGCTTTTTTTTGATAGATGAAACTGCTTGATTTCCGTTTCAAACCACATGGCGCCTTCACCATTCCACCCAGAAGAAACCCTGAGCCAGAACTGCAATTGGCCTGCAATAGGCAGGGGTCAAATGCTCCAAGTCATGAAGTAGTATGAGGGCCCGGCCCCCTGACTCACCATGCGAGCCAGTCCAGAAAGCTCGCGTTCGTCAACGTCCTCACCTGGCATGCCATGTGAGATAGAGTCAACTTGGTTACCTTTGCGATGGGTGCGTGTCAGGTCTTTAGGCAACCGCGCGCGTGGCAACTTGCCACACGTGTTTTCATCTCTTCGTTTTCGTTCACGAGATAGCTCAGACTGTCGCTGCGCTAACTACAAAGCTCCCCCCAGCATGTGACTTCCCCTGCGTTGCGTCAGGGCTGTGCACATTGGAGACCCCAGCTGCGAGTGTGCAATCACACACACAGAGACTGAATTTTCATTCAAAAGCCCGATCACTCCGATTCCTTCTCCGCAGCAATCTTCTTGAGAGATTTCTCCAAAGACCTTGGCTGCGCGCAAACTTCAAATGGTTATGGGAACGCAAGTAAAGGCAGAGCTAGCTGATTCGAGGAAGCCCCTGTAGCATTTAAGAGACAACAGGGTTTGTTCTGGGTCCTGGCATGCGCCTCTTGACCTATTTGTTTTGGAGGGGGGGGCTTGTGTGCCAATTGAGCATATCACCACCAGTTGGCAAACAACCCCTCTTATAACAAATTCTTTAATAACTGGGGGGGCTCTGTTTTGGGGGCTTTGCAGTTTTAAAGTGATCTTCACCGTCACCAAGCTGAGAGACTGAGAGATGATCATAATTTGTTTGGCAAGCTGTTTGAGATTCCGTGTGCCCGCACGTGAACCCAGCGGGAAATGGCAAATGTAAATGTTGGTCAATTTTGGGGGGCAACACCAACCGAGCGTTCATATCCACTTTGCTCTGTATTTTTAAGATTCCCAACACAAAGCCAAGAGGGGCCCGTGATTGTTTTGTTTTTATCTAAGCTCGTCACACATCCCCTCCCCTTCAAACATTTGACGCTGGAAAGCCAGAGGTCTTGGAAAACATATGATTTAGTGCATTTGTGCAAGCGGATCCGAGGAGGGGCAGTTCATGGCCCGCCTGGGGTTGCTGATTGGTTCAACGCATATGGTCTCAAAATAGGACCGGTCCTAATGCATGTTAACTAGCTCACACGCGTACAAGCGCAATCTGGCAGGCTCCAAAACACCGAAGCGAGCCACGCGCGCGCACGTCTAGCGTAACGGAAGCGAGC